ATGCCCCAGTAATTATAGACCAATAGCTTTATTAAGCACTGTAGGGAAAGTTTTTGAAAAAGTTAATACAAAATTTCTGCATAATTATTTATTAGAAAATTCATTGTTATATAAATACCAATCTGGATTTCAGCCATTTCACTATACAGTGCATCAACTAATTGAAATTAATCATAATGTATGTATAACTCTAGAAAACGGTCATTATACCTGTCTTGTTTTTTGCGACATTTCCAAAGCTTTGGATCGGGTTTGGCAAGCAGGTCTTGTACACAAATTAAAAAGCTATGGAATTAATGGAAATCTTTTAGACTGGCTATCCGAATCAGAATCGCCATCACCAAGTCTTTATCCACAATGTTACTTCTCATACTAAAACAACTAATGCTGGTGTACCCCAGGGTTCTGTCTTATGTCCGGTTTTTTTCCTGTTGTATATCAACGATATAACTGATAACTTTGACAGCCCTTCCCGTCTTTTTGCTGATGATACTTCCCTATCCGTCTCTTCTCCTTCCGCAATTGAACTTGAAACTACTACTAACCGAGATCTTGAAAAAAATCATAACTGGGCAGAAAATTGGCTTGTTAAATTTAGTCCTAATAAAACTGAAGTACTACTAATTTCAAATACCAATGCTGAGCTTGATGTCTATCTTATTTATAATAATGTTAATATTGATTTTATTGAACATCATAAACATCTAGGCATTTTCCTAGATGCTAACTGTAAATGGACTCATCATATTGATAACATTTGTAAAACTGCAGTTAGAAGCGGGGCGTATTGTCACCGGTCTGCCATCTTTTGCTAGTAGAGCGTCTCTTTGTATCGAAACTGGTTGGGAAGTCTAGTCTCAACGTCGCACCCGCCGCAAACTTCAACTTTTCTACAAAATTCACAACAATATGACTCCCTCTTACCTAACTGACCTTCTCCCGCCACTAGTAGCTACTTTAAATTCTTATTATTTGAGAAACTCTGAGAACTATTCCATTCCTAATTTCCGTTTACAATCTTCATTTAACTCGTTCATACCTTCTATTTTAAGATTATGGAATGAGCTTGACACTTATATTAAAACTGCACATTCTTTTAAGAGCTTCACAAACTGCCTCAAAAAACAAAACGAAACATTAAAAGTGCCTGTTTTTTTTATTTAGCCGGTGACCGTAAGTTAAATACTTTACTAACCAAACTCCGTCATAAATGCAGCCCTTTAAATGATGATCTCTTTAATGTTAACCTAATCACCTCTTCTATTTGTGCATGTGGATACCCTAATGAAAATGCTCATCATTTCAAATGTTTAGAAATCTTCATGAATACTTACCTCTAAGCTTAGAGAAATTATTGTATGGCCATGAAGATTATTCGAGTGACGATTTTTTTTTTTTTTATATATGTATGTATCGAGTACTCGCAGGTTTTAATATGGTCACGTTCTTTTGTCTCCTCTTCAACAGTCCTCATTATCTTTCATGTTCATTTCTTAGCTTGACGGGACGGGGAGATATAGAAGTACAAATGTATACGTATAGAACAAAGATTTTGTTAAAGCATGTCACTCCACTGATGTGGAAGATAAATACATGTCGTTTTGGCCTGGTGTAAATTTCGAAATCAAAGAGTACTTTATATAAAAAAAACATTCTTGAAAAAGTTCTATTTCAAGGCTACCCAGTTAGTGTGCACAATACTGAGAACGTTATATAACCTATCTGTATGTAACGATACTAAAGTTCCATCTTTAGTTAAACTGGTTAGGCTGTCTTTTGTCTATAAGTCGTAGAATCGTGTTCTCGTCCTTTAAAATATTCCATTGTTCTTGTCATGTTTTGTTAAAGTTACTGTGCGGTGTACCGTTCGATAAGCATTAATCAGTGTTTTTAAATCGTTTTGGGGATTATAAACAACCAGAACAGTGAAGTGATTGTCGAGTAACTTGCGCAAAAACCCCAACAAAATCCACAATAAAAATGAGGATAGTGTATAAGGAAATTTATTTTTGAAGCTAACAAATTACGAGTCTCCTTAAGACTAACTACCTCTGACACATCAGTGTAAATTGTTACTGTTTATGAGAATAATTCTCCAGTTGGCATTTTGTACCATGGACTGAGGGACCCGAAGTTTAATAAAAAAAAAAACAATGGACTTGGCGTTTTTGTTATTTCTTGTCATACAGTGGAGAGAAGACTTCACGATACCGCTATATTGTCACCTTCTAAATTCACTTAAATTCGCTCGTGCTAGTGCGACAAATTCTAGGATTTGGCGTTTTTGTTATTTCTTGTCATAAATACAGTGGAGAGGATACATCACTTTACCGCTATATTGTCACCTTCTAAAACAGTGGATTGTCACCACCGGCGGACTTTGTTGGTTGACTTAGAAACTTGGAATAGGGAATCGGTATACTGTCTTGTGACTGCCATTTCTTTGATTGAGATATGAAATTATTTAAAATCTGTCTTAACCAAGCTTCTAAAGATTTTTGTATCATATTATCTCTATACTATATTATGTGTATGTTAATATAGTGCTTTTGATTTACACCACCGTAGGCACATAAGAGTGTTCACAACTGTATCAACCAGTTAAATTATTGGTAACATGCACTAAATTATCAAATTATTACGAAATTTTGCACTAAGGTTTCTTTTATTTCTTTTATACAAATATGATCGAAACCCACTCGAATCAACTCATAGAAAACACCCCCTACTTTTGGCAATTATAACCAATCAAAACTGCGCTAACAAAAGCGCACAGGTCATCTATCACGGCCTAGTAAATATACAGCAAAATATTTTTGACACAGAATTCGCCTAAAGTAGGATCGAAATTCATTAGAACCTGACCAATCGAACACAAAACCCCTACTTGTGACACTTTGGCTTCACAATACATCCAGTAAAAACATATTTAATGAAATTTTAACTACAAACCCGTCAACCCCGACCCCCACACCTAATTTATACTAATACTCACAAACATAATTATAAAATGTCAGAACAGTTACAGACGAAAGCCAAGGACACGTTTTATAATAACGAGAACATTTGTATCGAAGGAAAGTTTTCCATAGTGTGCAGGAACTGGATTCGGTTTCAAGAACGGACACCAAAAATCAAGGTTAATTAGCACTTGCATGACACTAACCACTAACCAATAACATCCAGTCCGGCGGAGGGGACTACAATGTATAAACGGTGTCCCGCGTGGGAGGGTCCAACCTGCACGTAAAAGATCCCTCTGTGCATTGTCGAAAGAGTAGGCGCGTTAACGCCGACACAGAGGATAGGGTGGGGTTAGATAAAAATGTTTAAGACGATTCGACGGACTTCCAAAATATAGAACCAAAACAAAACACAAATAGAGTAGTCTAGGGTTATAGGACAGCCTGGATATGGTAGACACGTCACCCTCCTACACCAACGCCATATAATACATCCAGACACGATACGGCCAGCGACCCCCCATCCTTTAATATAATAATAAAAAAAGTAATATATATATATTATTGGCTCAGTAACTTATACATCCCTCCCTTAAGGCCCTTTTAGCTACCCGCTTCCTATCTGCCAATTTTTACTTTTTTTGATTGCTAAAATATTTATCTAACTTTTTCTTTTTTTCTTTCTAATATATATAAGCATTCACCATAGAATTAAAGGTAAAAACCCGCAAACACCAAATTTCATCAAAATATAAGGTAATGATATAGTATTGGTGACTCCTCCCCACCCCCTGAGGGAAGGCAACTTCCCTCACGCCGACAGAACACCGACTTCCGTCAGTGAGATGAAACCCGCATGGGCGGAATCATGTAGGCGAAAAACCCGTCAACCAAACAACCAACCATTGGTAACATGCACGTGTTAACACTATATTCTACATATTGGTTTCACTTAAACTTGTTTGCCGTAATATATATCTTCATAACTAATTAAACCTGTTCCCTGTATACGACATGGTGTTATTGAAAATTGAAAAATTCTTAAGTTTGAAACGAATCATTTTATTTTACAATTAATCTGGTAGGAGACACAAAAAACAGACAATTATTCATAGAAATTATATTTCATAATACATAGTCGTGGAAAATATCTGAAGACGTGTCTTCATGCGACAGGTGAGCTATTTGTGGTTTTATGGTAGGATTACAGAAATAACCCCGACGCCATTAACCGTATAAATATCACTATTAAACTGTACTATACTAAGCAGAACAGCAATAAATGATATCGTATAATACAGGACATGATATGGCATCAAGTAGCATGTCATATCGGTTATTGGATATGCACTGAATATTATCGTGATTATGATGGTGTCCGCATGGCGTATTCGAGGGAGGCTGGACTGATCTATCACGAGAAATCCCCGTAATGATGTATTCGAGGGAGGCTGGATCGACTGATCTATCACGAGAAATCCCCTTAATGATGTATTCGAGGGAGGCTGGATCGACTGATCTATCACGAGAAATTCCCGTAATGCGAAGGGATTATTTTAATATTTGAAAAAAAAAACATGTGGGTGCCTGACTGACAGATTCGTGATCAAAACAACTGTTGTTTATCTGCCTTTTTTTTCTCATTCCATGTTATGTGTATAGCAGCGTGGAATCTTCCTTGCGAACATTGATCAAAATACCCCAGAAGCACGTTTCGTGCCCTGAGAAACTCGTGGCTCGGTTGTAACACCTTTGACCGTGTGTAGTAAAAATCTAGGTCACATACTTCCATATTCGGCAAACTGATTAATTATTCATGAGGTGAACAACACACCTGTTCCATATAAGGAAGTGCGTCATGAAATATTGAAAACGTCATTTGCATAATAAGCAGAGCCTTCGACTGTTTCCGGTGACGTAGAGCAAACATCGGCGGGCCGAAGCGAGAATCTCCTTATAAGGTAATCTTCGGCGAACATCGTGTCTCGGAAATATTTCGGCCGACCAATCAGATCATTCGGGTGTTTACGCCACCACTTCGGTATTGTTGTGATCTAGAAATGAATGAAGTGACTTCAGACAGCATGCTGTCATTCGTTACGAACACGTTGTGTTGTGAAGTCGGGACTAGTGTACCGAGAACTATGCCTCGAGTTGTTCCCGATCAGAGATCGACATTTGAAAATGAAGAATTATTTAGAAAACTTAGTCGTGAATGTGAGGTTAGTGTTGATTTCACAACTTTTTACCATGAGGAAGTTGCCAAGTTTCTGTTGGGTCACACATGACGAAGTTTCGTTACTTTCGTAAATACGTTGTTTTTACTTATAATTCGTCACCGGGAAGTTTTCCAATTGAAGGATCATAATTCTTGTGTTCTTAAAATGGATGTCGTTTTGTGTTTTCTTTTAATCCTGGATTTAATCTTCTGTTCTAGGTGAAATACACTGGATTTAGAGACCGGCCCCCAGAGGAGCGGCAGTTACGATTTCAGACTGAATGTAGGGAAGGGCATGCGGCCTTAGTAAGTAGTTGGCCCAATACACACACTCACCGTTACTCGCTGTTAACCTGCCGTTAAGACCATGACAATAGTCGAAGTGCATGTAGCTTGTTCAGGTTATAATACTTTGATCATATTGGCATTAAAATTAATGTATAAAGTATTTGTTTTTTAAGTTTTATGATCAGTAAAAAGTTCGCGCACAGGTTAACGTGACGTGAAAATTGATGAGTAACGTACATATTTAATTTGAATACATTTCGTTGAAAGACAACGGCTGAATTGTTTTCTGGTGCCTTTTAATTTGTTTAACTAGAAATCAAATTATACATTTAAACAGTAATAAATAAAAGCTTTTACTTCAGTATATATACGACGAGCTAATATACTATTAGTAAAAAAGTAACTGCAGAATATAATATCGAACATTTATAATATTTAGCAGACTATTATCAGTTCCACTCAGCTTAATTTCTTGTGGGTTTTTTTAGATTTTTTTTTATAAATAGATTAGGGTATATAATGAAATATTATATTTTATGAGAAAAACATTTTGTAATATCTTCATAAAAACAGCCGATTCTGATAAAGAATATATAAAAAAAAAATATGAAAAGAAGTGGGCCTAATAATTTTGTTGTTGGTTTTCTTTTTCAAGATTTTTGATATAAAAAATGCAGTTTAAAATATGAAAACAATATTTTTTGCTTATACAAATATTTGCTGAGATACTTATACAAAGTATATAACCTTTGTAGAATTACTCATTATAAACTATGAATATAATTAATTCTCTCTATTTATTATTTTCCTAAACGAAAGAACTGTAGTTGAATCAAATCACTGCATACCACGTTTTACTCATGTCGTATGGTAACCGGGCTAGCTCTCTTCTAAGCAGAAGGGAGGTAACTCCTACAAGCTAAAGTCGTATTTTCGCATATTTTTGTTTCATTTTAATTCTTCATATAGGGTAAACAGCGTAATCAAGTGAATTATCAATTGATGTCTGACTTTGTATGCCAAAAAGGATGATTATTTGTTCTGATGATAATTGCATTTATTGAATTGCTTTATTATTCTTTGTACAAGTTCAAAATAATTCATAACCTGAATTTTTTATGTTGTAAATATTGATTTGTGTTAATTTGAGTGAAAACCAAACCAAATGAAAATGTTGCAATGAAAACAAAAATAAATTATAAGGAGTTACTACAAATATTATTGATTGCTTTTTTGAGGTTGATTAAACCTCTAGATCTCAGCAAATATTAAAAACTTTGATGAAGATTTGCCACTTCCATTTGGTTCCTAAGTTTTCTTTGAAATAATATTTAGTCATACTTGCCTTATTTCATTGTGCTATTTTTTCTTACAGGCATTTGTTTGTACGGGAACAAATCTTGAACTTGGTTTTTCTTCAAATGCTTGGTCGGACAAAGATGAGGACAGAGTAACGACGCGGGAGTTCGTGGATTTTGACAGAGAAAGTGGAAAGGTAGGAAAAGTTTTCTATTTCAAAATTAACTGTTTTGTAACCAAGAACTGGCATAGAAATATTACACAAATATTTCAAAAACTGACATTGTCCGCTTTACTATTAACAAATGACAGTGTACGTATCGTAATAGTCATCGAAACGTCACATAGAAAACTTTATTGGTTGTGTAAAAAAGAACTTTTCATAATCCATACTTACCAACCTGAAGAAAATGTTCAGAAATATTAACAAATTCATTTACAAATCAATTATCCTTACATGTAAATAATATAAAAACAACTGGAAACTTTGTTTTAACATTTTTTTTCATTATTCAAAATGAAAAATTAATACACTATAAGATAACAAGGACTATGATATGAGCTAAACACAGAAAAAAGATACACTGGATTTACTAAATATTACCAACTAGGATATCAAAAAATAGTTTTGCCCCGAGTTGATTTTACATATTTAAACAAAAGATTTATGTATTTAATCAGGGACAGTATACGTCCCTGATTTAATACTCTGCTATATCAAAGTTTTTTCATGACTTCAATATAATTAAACATATTCAGCTTTGTACAAGGTAACTTACAGGCTACCAACAGAGGCAAAAAACTTAAAACAATATAAAATCTGGATTTTAGATCTGGTAAGAGGGAAGCGACAAATGTGGTTACACTAATATAAATGAACAGAAATTAACGAATGCCAAACCCATTTTAATTTTCTCTTCTATTTGACATTCACAATATCTGTGCATGTAATTATTTTTAATCAGCCCAATTCAAAATTACGTTTGTCTTTTACAAAAATGTCATAAAATCTTGTAGTCATCTTACATTTTGCAGGTGTTGAAAACTGTCTATCTGTTTTATCTTATATCTGTTATTGTTGTGTTTTCTCTCAGATAAACAAAAATAACCTTAAATAGTTCATAGATACCTTATAGAGTTAAACAAAAATAACCTTAAATAGTTCATACATACTTTTACCTTAAAAGAATTTCTCTTAAATATGACAACTTTTTCAAAATATGCATTTTGTTAAAATAACATTATAACTTTATTTGCATGAAATATGATAAAGCTGTGTTATATATTGTTGAAAAAAAATCAATGCAATCTAGCCAGACAAAGAAATGATTTATAAAATATATAAAAACAAATTTTACACAATAAAATAATTTGGGTTTTTTATGTAACATTACCCAATAAATACATAAATAAAATTTCAATGGACTTCACATAATTTATCTAATTATAATCATCTCTGAGGCATGGCAACATCCCAACTTTTCCCAACAGTAATACGGTAATGATTTATACTATAATCCTGATATTTTGTAACTCACCGTTACTTCACCGTTGTCGACGTCATACCATTAGTCTTAGACTACTATGGCGCTTCTACTACTGCTACTGGTACGGACTCCCGGTCTATCAGATTTGTTCTTTTCGTTATTTGTTCACTCCTAATTGTTTCATGAGCACATTTATCATAATATAAAACCTCCACCTCAAACCTATAATATAAACTATTAAAAACATCACAGTATCACAGATATAATTATGATGTCAGCTGGATATTATAGAAATTAAAAAGTATCAATTTGTTGACCGCCGTTGGTTTTGACTTTTACAAAGCTGGGTTTCTGCTGATTTGGTCACTATGAGAATTCCCATAATCGTTGTTTATGTGGTATAGCACATTGTGATTTCCATTATCATTAATATTATTCATGTGATATATCATATATTGCCATTCTCATATAGAACATATGTTTTGGTTACCATAATCATTGTTTTTGTAAGAATTAATTTAAGTTAGAGAAATATTCCAAAATTATAGAAATTTTTGGATGGATTTTCATCACTGCTCCCAAGGGAATTTTGAGAGTATTGAAATTATAGCCAAAGGATAGGATAAACCTATGTGAACATGAAAACCATTATAAGATATATATATCATTCTATATATAATAAAATAGGAATTATGTTCCTAAGCATGTATTACTGCATACTTATGTATTCTTAAGTACATGACTTTGCAGATTAGTAAATTACCGGTAAATATACATACAGAAATGATGATCACGATGATAAGGACAGAGAAGTTCTTCATTTTAAACTTAAATAATATCCAAGCTTCTGACTCATTTAGTTTGTCAGTCTATTGGGACATGGAATAAAATTTAATGCTTTCCAAAAAAATGAAGTCTGGTCACATTCATTTGAATTCTATAATTCATGCCTCTCCTATCAAATAAGTGGGGATTACAAGTTAGTTTTTTCACTTCGTATCAAATGAGTGGGGATTTAGGGTTGGATTTTACCCCTCCTATCAAATTAAGGACTGATACTGAGGCTCTTCACCCCTCCTGTTATGTCAGTGGGGGTGGGGTAGGGGGTGGGGAGGGTGGTGCTGACACAGAACAGGTCTAAGTGATGCTATCATATGACAAGATTGCTTCTATAAATCAGATCACTGTTTACACTCATGCAGTAATTGAAATATATTGATGTGAATTCAGAATTGACTAAGTGACGTTTTCTCATGCTCATGGAACAGAATCTTATTTAATTTATTTACCGTCGCTTACTCTAAATGGGAGAAAAATGACGTTTACTCTTCAATTACTATTCTTAAATGAAAATTTTAATACACAACAAATTTATATTCAAGATATAGATGTATGGTCTCGTTACAAATTGTTCATGATGTTAAAAGTTCACTCAGTAATGAGATTAATTACCAACTGATCATTTCTATTAACAAGTTTACTTGCATACCCCTTAGCTGATGTTAGAGGATTGATAACAGATATGGAAGTCACTGATTGCCAGTGGAGATATTGATGTTACCCTTGGGTTATTGATAGGGTTTACAAGAGATCCCAGAGGGATCTTGGCGCCCACCATATTACCACCTTCTATTGTTCACTGAAAAAGCGATCTTCTCTCTTCTTTTATTTTATCTGTTGGATTGAGTCATGTAAACAGTAAATGCACCTTGTGGTAACTTTTGATCAAAGCTTCATACTGCTGTGTATGACATTGTTCTTTCAAATTGAGACTTTCTTTTGAACTATTTACTTACACAGTAAATGTCTAGCAAGGGGAACATAAACTTGAAATTTTAGAAAGAACAATTAAGTACTTCTCGAAGAAATCAAAGATGGCTGCCTGGAGGCCATATTGTTTTCCTTATCAGTCCCAAATGAAACATGCACACCAATTGACCAAGGGATAAACATCTGTTATGTTATTCTTTATAAATAACAATAACAAACTTGAGATTTCAAAATCCAAGATGGCTGCCTGGTGGCCATCTTGTTTTTCTGATCAGTCCCAAAATGAAACATGCACTAATATGGACCAAGGGGAACCTGTAACCGTCATATGAAATTTTGAGAAAATAAGTTGAGTATTTCTGTAGTAATAGTGACAACAAAAATTGTTCAAGGACTGCCCAGATGGGGGCAGACAGAGGGACAGAACAGATCATGAAGGACAGCCATTTGAATAGCCCACCATCTTATTAGGTATGGTGGGCTAATAAAACCTCATGATTACTAACACACAGGAGAGATCCTGTTGGTGAGATTATATTTCATAGTACTAGGGAAATGATTTCCTGGACCAAGTTGTAAAAGTTGTATCATCTTCACAACAACTGTCAAGAAGCTTTTTAATCACAAAGGCTTAAAATTTGCATTTATTTGTGTGTTTCTTGTCTTCTGAAGATGATTTGTTTGTTCCTGAAAGTATTTTTTTGTTTGAAATGTTAGTGGCTTGAAGTTCTTTACAAACATTTGGATGAAAAATTATGCATTAAATGTTTTGTTAAGCTAATAAGTCTTTCATCAACTGAGGTCAGCTAAGCTGTTGTCAAGGTAGGTGGGAAATGTCAACATTATAATGCATAAATATGGCTTCTTTAAGGAATTTTGTTACAAAAATAACCTTTTGTAATTGAAATATTTATTACTTAAGAAAAAAGTTTGGTTAATTAAAGAAAGGGGAAAGAAGTGTCAAGGAAAATGAAATTAATTTGATTCAAGATTAAGTCAACACTAAGCCTGACTTTATCACCATGGGGACAGACATACATCTGTATCAGATTTTAACCTTGAGTGAAATCAGGGCTTGCAGTTGATCATTGACAATTTCAGAAGTCAAATAAAATTTTCTCTGAATTTTAGACAGTCCTAGCATATGCCAAATAAAATCAGTCCTTTAATAACCCAAGATTCAAAGCTCATTTTGAGGACTAAAACCTCAAGGGTCTGCTGAAAGCTCAACAGTGAAAATTGATTTTGGCAATAATGCTGGACAATTTAACTCTGTTAACAATCATTAAGTTATGTAATGTACTAAAACCAGTATTACCTTCAACTGAATGCATGGTAGTCTGATATTGGTTGTGGTGTTGTCTTTTGAATGAAGTAGTACAAAATGTTTATATTATGGGGGGGGGGGGGGGGGGGGGGGTGATTAGTGAATACGATTATGAATATGATTATGTAAGTCTGGACCTAATTTAGTGAAATAGAGAAAAGAGACCACAGCATCAACACCAAGGACAAAATATACAGTCAAAACTGATAAATGAAAATAACAGGAACTGAGGAGACATCAAATCAAAAGGAAGAACATCATGACCTAACCCCCCCTTCCCCCGAACACAAGAAAGGAAATACAAATGGTTCTGTGTTGTAACACCTATTCAATTAGTTTATATAATTGACCTTCATCAGACAAGGAAACTGTTAGAGCAATGTTCTCATCATGTAGCTAGCCAGGTAGTTGTGTCCGTGTGTAGTACAGGTAGTTGTGTCCGTGTGTAGTACAGGTAGTTGTGTCCGTGTGTAGTACAGTTGTATCTTAATTAATGCCATTCAATACCTGCCTTACAATCTGGGTTTGTGGTATCCTATCTAGTTAAATATTGGAATACACAGGAAAATTATAAGGAAAATACTATAGCCAGCTATGTAACTGTGAATAGGT